CAATTATTTGTGGCAATTCATCACATTTATAAACGTTAAATCAGTGTGGTGGCACATGCCTACAATCCCAGCTATTTGGAAGGTGTGAGGCAGGAAGATCACAAGTTTGAGGCCAGCCTGGACAACTTAATTAGATCCCATCCCAAACTTTTAAAAAAATCTTAGTGGCAGGTGGCACACTGCTGGCTTCACATATAAAGAGGCCCTCGGTTCAATGCCGAGTACAAATAAAAAGAAAAAACAACTTTAAAGTACTAAAACAAAGTAAAAATTTCCTCTAATATTAAATGCAATGCATGACAAAAAAAAATCTGACTTATATCTATGTAGAATAATTATTGTAGTACACTTTCTAAAAGTGAAATTTAAAATACCCTGAGCTCCTATAAAACAGTACATTAGTAAGAGTCCAAATACGACTGACTGTACTTTTACAGAATCAGACCATGCATACTAACAATGGCAGTAGTATTAGGAATACATGTTACTGCTCTTAAGCATCCTCCACGAATTCACAATGCTTTCCTCAACTGTATCAGAACACAGAAGGCCCACCACCTTATGAGACAGATTAGAGCAGAAGAAAACACTGCCAAAGACTATGCAATAACCCAGCTGAATGAGAAACCCTGAAATGAATTTTTCAATTCATCCAAAGACCAATCACAATTTTGGTATGATATAACCTAATTAATGTAGTATAGCTAGTCTAAGGGAAATTACATAGAAATAACTTAGGGAGTTATGATATTCTGTTTACCTGATCAGTTTTAAACTGATCACTTTTAAACTGAAACAGAATTAAACATCATCCTGTTGTAATGCTGCAAGGACAAAACACAGAAAATACTCTCCAGCTGCCCGAAGTCCTTTGTCTAACAAGACGATGTTACCTCTGACAAAGAAATGCATCTATGTGAAACCAAGGCTAAGATCATTCAATTTACTAAGTATGACAAAACAAAACTTTCTGCCAAATCTTCCACCTTTAAAAAAAATGCCATGTGAAATCGAAAAAGCAATTGTTGTCATCACGCAAGAATACACTATTCAATCAAAATTTCACAAAGCTCAGGGCCCTGAGCAAGCTACTCAAAACCTTCTCATGCACTCTGAAATGAGGTCAGAAGGCAAATTTCAGAGGACTTCTTTATTATCTTGGCTTGTTTAATATGAAAAGAAGGAACATGTTTTTGAAATATTTTAATGGAGTTTCTCCTCTCACTTTAAAGTTTTATAATGTATTTCAGAAGGTATATATAATAAATATGCAGGTTTTCATGCTTAAAAACTTTTTTTAAATGGTGAGACCTACATGCGCTAGTATATGTTGACATGAACATAAATTCAAGACTTTTTAATGAATTAGTACAAGAAATGGCTACATTAAGACAAGAAAAGGTCACTCTGACTTGCCATTAAATCACTAAGACACTTACAGCATTTTAGACTCAATGTTACACAAAGATACACAGACATTTTAAAAATCAGTAATTCCTACCCTACAAATTTTATTCAATAGACCAATAAGTCATACCCAACTCAAGATAAAAATACACTGTCCCACTGAGATTTGAAAATGTCCTAGAAACATGGGCAATATAGCACAACCATCAACAGACTTTTAGAAGTATAATTACGTCTAGAAATAAGGAGACAGACTAAATTTTCAAGTTTCCTTCTTATCCTAATTTTAAAAAAATTATAAGAAGCATATAATGCTTAAAAGACATTACTAAGCATTTCCTTTATCTGTATACGACCTTTGTAGACAGTAATAACTGACCAACTCCGATAGAAACAATTTCCCCAGCCAGTACAATCAACTAAGAATCAAAATCAACCTGGCTTTTTGCATCATTCGTTTCCTACTGTATCTGTGAAATCTCACCCTGTGAAACAGCATTTCAGTAAAGTCAGTTGTCCTATAAATCTTCTGAGCATGCAGTTGTTCAAAGGCATTTGATTATGAGGAATTCTCCATTACTCAGCCACACCTGCTTTAGGCTGTAAACCATACGGAGTATATTATACTCACACCAGCTAATCTTCAGTAACTTCAGAAGGCAATTCTAAATTTTTAATGTTGTCTGCATGCACGTGTGTTAAACTAAGGTTTTCTTAATAATTCTTATTTCTATATTAGAAAAAAACTGCTAAAATTAGGTTTTGTAGATTATTTGTAAACCAAATCCATTTTTTTCCCATAGAAGTATAAGATTTGCAGATCTCAGTGAATGAGAGTCTGCATTTTGTACAGCAGAGGGTTTATATTAAAGTAAGCGCTCTCTCTCCTGAACAGCTATGAGCAGGACTCCTTTTCTTAACGCCTTCAGCCATCCCGGTGGCCAGGACTCACTTTCTAATACACAGTAGTTGCTTAAAAGCTACTCAGTCACCAGACATGGTGGTGCACATGTGTAATCCTAGCACTCAGAAGGCTGAGGCAGAAGGATCGTCTCAAAGGTCAAAACCAGCCTAGGCTACAGTGAGTTCAAAGCCAGCCTGAACTAATAGCCGGAGTATCTCAAAAAAAAAAAAAAAAAAAAAGACTACTAGGTCACGGAGGCTGGGGACACCGTTGTTTGATAGAGGCCACGCACACCATGTGGAAAGCTCCTATTTAGATGAAGGGAAAGAGAAGGGAGGAGGAGGAGGAGGGGAGCCAAGACCCAGGAAGGTTACTGTTAAGGATTAAAAACTGGCGGTCAACTTAACACCGGCGGATTAATCAGCACAGTGCTGAGCGCAGATGCTCCACCTGAGGGAGGCTGCCAGCATAGAGGCGTGGGGAAGGAGAAGGGAGATGCGTTGAGGCGCTGCGGCATTGTGGGGTCTCCTACGTGTTGCTGTGTGAGCCGCTGGTTCTCCTGGAGAAGCTCTGGTCCTCACATCGAGCATGGCTTCCTGGCTCTGGAGAGGAAGACATATGTCGCTTGGTCTCCAGGATGAACTCGTCACGCTGCTTCCTGGCAGCGTGTACCCGAGTGTGCTTGTCGTCAGAGGAGCTCGGGGCCTCTGTGTCGCTGAGGATGGCTGAGGTGCTTTTCAGGACAGCCCTGCTCTTTGTTGTGTGACTTCTCGGCTCCAGCATAGACCCTCATCCCACCAGCACAGTTCCTTCACCCTGTTGGCACAGGTTCTAGCTTCTACCTCTGACCTTTGGGCCTTTGCAGCACGGATCCATAAGAGAGACGGGTGTAAGTCCTTCTTGTGGGCTCTGGACCTCCAGCTGGACTGGTGGGAGACATTGTCATGAGCTCTCAGTCTTCATCTGGACTCATGTGAGACATTGCTGTCAGATTCAGGTCCTTGGCTAAATATTCCATGTCTTTAGTACTGTGGACAGATTTCCTGCACTTTCTTGTGTTAACTCCTGGTGACCATCATAAAATAATATTACAAATTCCATGTCCTGATTCAAATTGTTCTCCGCACAACCCCTGACTACAACAGTTATGAAAGATTATGACTCTATAGATCATTTTTCCTCCTATAATACTTTTGTGAATTTAGTAAGACTCTATGAAAGAATTAATGATATGAGATACTCCTTGAAAACACCGGGTTAGTGCTGATTCCGTAGGGTCATGATGTGAAATCCAGCAATACTATTATTCTTCGTTGAGAGTAATTTTAGTTTGTTTTGTTTTGTTTAATTTCAACATACATGAAGCTATGGACAGCTATTTGAAAAGAATGAGAGACACTATGGCAGCCACTGTTGACTCCCTTATTGTCTGGTCTGAAGACCTAAAACGCCTTCATCATCCTGTTCTGATCAGTTCTATACTATTTTGTTTTGTATGAATTCATTGTATATGAAGATATGGACAACTATTTGGAAGGAAACAAGAGACAATGTCATAGACAGTGAAGATCTTTTGTTGCCTTGCTTTGAAATCTGTGTCTCTGACATTGTTATCTTATGATCTGTTTTGTTCTGTTTAATTTTACCCTCTTTAAAAAAAAACACTGGGTTAATTTTCAGATAATGAAAGATAAAGCATATAAATGAATATTAGTGCTATAAAGTTTCAGGAAAGACAAAAAAGTTCCTTTATTTCTCCTTTTCTCTAACCCTTTGATAGGTCAGTCTGCCTCCTTGTCTTAAAAAAGTCCAATATCCTGTGAACTGTAGTCATATGTAGGTATGTAAACATCTGGGATCCTATTTCCCAAACTACGGTTAAGAAAGAATTGTATAAAGAGATGGAAATCTAGATTCTACTGGTCTCGAGAAGATATGAGACTTAGACTTTATAAATGTATGGATGCATATAAATAAACTGTCCCTGTGCAGTTGTTGGAAGTGACTTGTTTTAGGGTGACTTTGTTATTTTTATGGTTAACAAGTAAATGGTACTCTACTATCAATAATGTTAAATGTGGTAGGAAAAACCTTAATGTAAACAGAAGAGGTAACTATACTACAGCAGAAATTCAACCTAAAATCTTAAATTCTCAATCTCTGTATAAGCTGGTAATGTGTTCTAATGAAAAGCTGCCTATACACAGGAATAACGTTAAAGCACTGCCAAACCATAGACACATGGAAGACAAGTACTTGGACCATCTACAAAAAAACCAAAAGACATGTTAATCAGCCTTGAACTGTGCAAACAGTGTCAGTGCTCACTTTCTTCACTAATTCCAATAAAGAAGCTTAATAATAAAAAGTAAAATATAGAAAATTTACTTGTTAAAATTAAGACTAGAATAAATGTAACTTTAAAATATACATGATTATATATTTAAATTTTTAGTATATTCATCTATTAAAAGTTGTGAATTACAAATAAAATCAAAATCAAAGTTATAAACATCTTGATAATTAAAAGCACCATTTTCAGTTCTCTCCATCTACGAAGAATCACAAGTTCATATGCTATACCAAGTAACATTGTGCTCTTTCTGTCCCCAAATATACACAGAAACACACTGTGCAAGAATTCAAAGCTTTTAAGCACAAATGCACAGGTCTTCATGGCTCAATTTACCGTCCGGTGGCCGTTCTGGCAGGCCACGTGCAGTGCCGTCTGTCCCATCGCGTCCTCCACATCAACGTCACTGACGTGCTGCACGAGGTCGTGGAGCAGCTCTGTCCGCCCATTCACAGCTAGCCAGTGAATCTGTGAAGTCATTTGGTTATTTAATGTTTGTGCCAGGATGTTTCATAAAAAAGCAGCGAACACTATTATTTCTCAACTAACCATGACATGCAAACAAATATACTTTAAGCACACATGGTTTTTCCCAATGAGGAAAAATATATGCATCACAATACAGATTATATTGCCACGTATTTATTACAAAATCAAGAACTCAACAGCTCAACACAGTAAGCATCCTAGGCTCAGGATTACCACATGCTCCACTTCTTAGATGACCCTGGACTCTAAGCTTAGCTTATCTCTAGAGAAGGTGATGTTTATTTTTCCTTTCCCAGAAACAAAAAGAAGTTAAAAGTAATAACACAATAGTGCCATATTCTTTACCTATCCTTTACTTCCTACATTTACAAACAACAAATGTGTCTTGCATAAATAATAAGATGTACAGGAAAAATATTATGCCTGTAAATCTACCAACGTTAGAACTTTAGACGAAGAGGCTATAGGTATAGCTCAGTGGTAAAGCATATGTTTAGCATATACAAAGCCCTGGGTTCAATTCTTAATGCCAACAAGAAAAATAAAACACAGAAGAAAAATATTGGACTATTCATTCCAAAGTTCGAATGCATGTATTTTTTCACTTTTTATTTTCATTAAAATCTTATTAAGACCTTCCTGTTTTAAAGTAGCTGGTTAAACACAACTGTTAGCCTCAACTTCAGAAAACTCCACTGAAATCACAATAAAAGAATATTTTCTTTAAAAAAAAAGAGAGAATAATGAGTTTTGGAAGCTGAAAAACAAATAATACTTTTTATCTTGTCAGATAATACTTGCTGATTTGTCAGAACAAAAAGAATCGGCAGTGACAAGCAAAGAAAGCTAAGCAGGTACGTGCTCCAGACCACAAAAGCACTGCAAAGACTCTGCCATCAATAATAAGCCCGCTATACCACTTGGAGTAAAGGCAAAATGTAACTAAAAACAAGTCATTTGAAAGTTTAGTAAGACTGAGACCCTCAGGTCCCTACCCCTTTCCAATTCTGCAAGGACAGTAAAGGTCCTCGCTAATCTGAGAACATGACTATAGATGAGATACACCAAGGACATTGAAGTAAAAGCACCAACTCCATTAGAAGGAGGAAGATTAAATGCTAGCTCACACCAAACCATTCTTACCTCTCCAGCGACCACAGAGCTCACAGTTTCCTGGTGGTGCAGATGGAAAAGCTCTCTAAGGAATCTAACTGGCCTGATCAGGAGTAACGGCCTCAAGTAAGTGACACTAGGAAGGGGTGGAGTGCAGAATGTCTCTGCAGATCTCCCTACACTGAAGACTCCAGAGAACACATTTCATTCACACTGCCAGTCCTTTCCAAGAGCTTTCCCTTGTTCCCCCAAACACTTGTTAGATTTATCTGATTTAAAAGACAAGCAAAATATTAATAATGGGAAAAAAGAAATCATGAAAAAACTATTTAACAGTTTCATAGAATACACTAATCACATCACAGAATACTGTTTTGTTTTGTTTAACGATAAAAAGAAAAGGAACCTTTGGAAAGTAGTATTGTGATGGTGACATGAATGTAGATGATTTAGACAATATCGAAGCAAACACAAATAAAAAATGGGAAAAGAGAAAAAGTAAGAAAACTGTTGGGTTATTCCAATATTCAAACAATAAGAGTACAAAATGGGAAAACAGAAGAGTGAAAAGCTTGAATCATACTTTGTGAAAATTTCTCCTGAGTGTCCATTTTATGAGTTTCTGGACTCATAATAGGGTCTCTGTATTATCCAGCCAAATAGATATAATAAGTTCAACTAAAACTCAGGAAATTATAGAATGCTAAACACAAAGTAGATTCTTTAAGTTTCTAGCCAGGAAACAGAGGATTCGTGTAAAGAATCAAGGTTAGGTGGTGGATATCTGTAAATCCAGGCAGTTGGAAGGCTGAGGCAGGCCAGCCTGGGTAACTCCTAAGCCTTTTCTCAAAATAAAAAGGGCTGGAGATGTAATCAACACTCGTTGGGTCCAATCCCCAGTCCCAGGGAAAGAAAAAAAAACCCTAAAAGGGGTACTGAGCTTCAAGACTGAAAGCTAGAAGACAACAAAGCAATGCTTTCAAGACACTAAAAGGGAAGGTGATACCCAATCTAGAATTTTATCATCAGCTAAATTATCAATTATATAAATTGATAAACTCAAAGACTCAGATCATTTTTGAGACATGTAACACGGCAACAAATTTACCTGCCATACACCCTTTCTCAAAAAAACTGTCAAAGATGTTTCCCAGCAAAGTTATAGAACTGTTATCAGGAAAACCAGATATGGGACTCACATAACAGAGCGCTCAAAGCAAGATAAAGACAAAAAGATCCTCCAAGATAACGATGATGAAACATTCTGAGCAACTGTGCAGCAGACTTAAAAACCTATCAGTTCAGCCTGGAGAGGACAGAAATCCCACTATATGTTCCTTTGAGACATAACCAAGAACTTAACAGGCACTAACAACATTTTAGGATAACAGTTATGAACAGTAATAAATACTTAGAAAATTTAAAAAATAAAAAAATAAACACTGAAGATGTAGCTCAGTGGTAGAGCACTTGCCCAGCATGCACAAGGCCCTGGGTTCCATTCCCAGCACTATAAAAAGAAAAATTCAAAGGTTTAATAAGCCAAGAAACATGGAAAAGACACTTAAGATTGCAAACTAAGAAATATCTCTATTTACAGAGTACATGATTATCTATGTTGAATATCCCAAGGAATATACATACATACACAGACACAAACACAAACACACACACACACACATACACACACACACACACACACTGAATTCAGAAAGATGGTGGAATATGACACACAAAAAACAAATGCATTTCTATACATTAACAATGAACATGCAGAAACCCAAACTAAAAGCACAATACATTTACAAAACAGACACAAAATCCCTAGTACTAAATGCTAACTAAAGAAATCAAAGACCTAAACAAAAACAGAGAGAAGTGTGTTTATGGATTGAAAGACCAAACACAGTAGAGATGTCAATTATCCCCAAATTGATCTACTGGTTTAATACAATTCCAGTCAGACTCTCAGAAAAGTTTTTCTAGAATAGACAAGTTTATTATAAAATGCACATAGACAAAGGAACCTGAATAAGTAGCTAACCCAATCCTCATACAAAAAAATATAGCAGGAGACATTATTGTCCTAATACTAAGCCTCAGTATGCATACAGCTACAATAATCAAGACAGTGTGGTTTTTGTAAACACAGATCAATGGAATGAACACAAAGCCCAGAAGACGGTGACACAGATAACGCCCAACTGATTTCTGAGAAAAATGTAAGATCAATGTAATGCAGAAAGACTGTCTTTCAAAAGACAGTGCTAATGTAACTGAACAGTTAGGAAAACAAAAACCCAACCTAAGCCTCAGATATTATAAAAATATCAACTCAAAAGAAATCAGATGTAAAAAATGTAATAGGGTTAGGAAAAAACATGAGAGTAAATCTAGAAGAAAATATGTCAAAATTATGTATTTAATGGGCACTATTCTATCAAAATGTAAAGAATTCTCCCAGTTTGTTTTTGTTTTTGTTGTTATTGTTGTTGCTGTTTTAATCCTAGCTCAGAAAAGGGACAAATAACATGAGCTGATACTTCACTTCATGAATGACATAAGCCTATGAAAAACTGTTCAACAGTACTGGCAATTAGGCAAATGGTAATTAAAGCAAAATGACATGTCACATAACCATTATAATGGTTAAAATAAAAGCTACACCACCAACAGTTGGCAAGGAAGATGGATCACTCGTGTACTACAGGTGGAAATACACTGTTTAATGGCACAACCACTCTGGCCAAGCATATTTTAAAACTAAACATGAACTGTTTATCATACAACCCACAACCACATCCTTAAACACTGAATCCCAAAGGAATGTTACCTTACATTCACACAAAATCTTGCACAGTGATGTTGATGTTTACAGCAGCTTTATTCTTAGTAGCCCGAAACTCAAAATGACTCACTGTCCTTCATCAGTTACTAGTGAAAAGAAACAACAGTACACCCACTCCATAGACTGTCACTCAGCAGTATAAAGGAACAAACTGACACATAACAAACTAGATATATCTCCAGGGAGCATGATGAGCTAAATAAACCAACACCAAAAAATCTCATAGAGCATAACTCCATTTATACAACAGACCTGAATGACACAATTTTAGAAACAGAAAACAGGGTTAGGTATGGAGTGTGAAGGAGAAAGGTATAATAAAGGGACAATCAAAAGATCTTTGTGATATTGGGAAGTTCAGAACACTGTAGTGGTAAACATATGAACATATGCAGGGAATAAAACTGTTCAGAAGTTCATATACACACATATAACGATCCTGAGAAAATTTCAGCAAGGTGAATTGATCAATATCCTGGCTGTGATATTATGTTCTAGTTTCACAAATATTACCAATAGGGAAAACAGACAAAAGGCACACGGGATTTCTGGGGATTATTTCTTAAGACTCTATTGAGACAGTTCTCTCAATTTTTTTTCAAAGATGACAATTATTTACCACAGATAAAATGGTAGGCAAAATTTTTTAAAAAGTAACTGTAGGAGAGTACTTAGCATAACCATGAATAGCTTTCCTTCAGTTAAAACAGTAAGAACACTGCAGTTTACCTAGCTACACTTATGAAGACCGCGCGGCCCAGGCACTTGCTTATACTCGATGAATGGGGGAGGAGCTGCAGAGAGCCTTTCAACTGTTAAATACCCAAAGTTAAAAGGTGGTGTTTGCACGCTTGAATTAAAAAATAGCTTACATCCATTAAAACAGCTGAGAGGAACTGCCTAGAGACAGACAGACTTCGAGGGGAAAGTCTGAGGAGGAACACTGAGAGACTATTTCCTACAGCGAGTCTTACAGAATGCTGCGACACTTTAAACACAGGCATTATTTTAAAAGATCTCCATCACCCTTAAGCTCAGGAATGAAGGGTGAAGTAAGAGCAGACGAAAACTTCTGCAACTCAACAGGTTAACAGTAAATATCTTGCCTAAACTGGGTAATGTCCTAAGGGAAGATTTTTATATCACTGCCAGGGGTTTTATATAATCCCGTGTCATCTACCACATCACTAGGCATTCTGTAAATTCAAAATACAATGTTTCCTTACAGATTATTTGTATTATATTGCTATTATATAACAAAGTATTAATTTTCATGTGAACTGTAGATTTCAAGAAATAATTATGATTAAGCTTATTCTATAACAAGCCACTCTGAAAAGTTCACATCTTAAACAAGTTTTCCTTATGCTCGTTCCCCAAAATCTTTAATTAAAAAGGCTCTGAGACCAAGCCTGGCAAGTAAATAATCAATGTTCCCCTTTACTCATAAATTAAGATTGAGAATCTATAAGTACTCCCAAAAGAAGGTTAAATTTAACTTCCAAATAACTGCTCCGGCCAAGCACCGAGGGACACCCCTGTACTGTCCCCCAGGCAAACTGCCAGCCTGAGGTCAGACGGAGGACTTTAGGGTGGGAATACAGCTCAAGTGCTTTCCTACCAGGGGCACAGGCCCGGGATTCAACCCCTATTACTACAAAAAAAGTGATGATGATAACTGCTCCATACTCACCTAATTCTATTTATTTCTAGTGAATAATGTTCAATAAATAATGATTTACTAAACACTTTCAGACTTCAACAATCCCATCAGCACCATTCCCTACCACCTCCCAAGACACTTATGTTGATCCAAAACATATTAACTTAAGTTTCGTTTAAAAAAAAAAAAAAAAAAAACTGACAGGGAAAATAAATAAAAGTACTAACTTGACACACAGCAAGTCTCAAAGAATATAGTCAAATTGTTAACAGTGACTGTCCCTGAGTGCAGCGAGTCAGAGAATGTTAAGTCCTTGCGTTACTGCTTGTCCTTTCTGCCTAGCTATAGGAACATGTCAGAAATAAACAGGTCACAACCCAAAGCAGCTCCCGTAATGCACTGATACACACTTCAGCAGAGCTGCTCCTAAGAGGCCCACTCAAAGTGACAGAAGATAGGGGAATAAAACTTCCAGGTAAATCAAAGAGAAGAGAGAAATACGGTGAACCAACTTTTCTGTCATTCTGCACCTTCTTAATTACAAAGTAACTCGCAGACAACTTGTACTACACTGTACATTATCATCACACTTAAGGTTTCTTTTTAAAACATGTGTTTAAAATCTGATAAAAATCAGGAGCACTTACTGCTGTAAGGCCTTCATTATTACAAATGTTGACATCAGCACCGTACTCTAGTAATTTACTCATGCATTTCTTCTGTCTGAAATGAAAAAGAGAACTAGTACTAAAGAACATAAAAATGACAGTCATTTACTACAATAAACATCAGCTGCTGATACAATGTCCCATCTGTGGGCCGGTCACGGGGCCCACACCTGTAACTCAGGAGGCCCGGCAGGACAGTCACTGCAAGTCTGAGGCCAGCCTGGGTTACACAGCAAATTCCAGGACAGACTGGGCTACACAGTGAGATCCTGTCTCAAAAATCAGAAATAAACAATAACAAAAATCTCTCTCTGCAATTTCAGACTGTACTTGCAAATTTAACTGTATGCTCTTAAAATACAAAGTTATTTCCATTGACACAAAAGTAACAGTAAAGAAATGGCACAATCGGGGTATCATGTCATCAGGACAAATGCATCAATCAAACTGCAGAGAAATTTTTAGTGTTGACAAAGTGAAGGGAAAAATAATGATAAATATAAGAAAATACAGATGTAATAGATAGGGAATCCATCCTACTTCCTTGATGGTAAGACACTTATGATACTTAGAAGAGTTATAAAAACATAATCACAGGGCTGAGGATTTAGCTCAGTGGCACAAGCACCTGCCTGGCAAGCACAAAGTCATGAGTTCAATTCCTGGTAACAACAACAACAACAACAAAAAAAAAATCACATAATCAGTAAAATGCATATCTATGAATCCCACTAGTCCACTCCATTTTTTAAATTATTTTTATTGTGGTATAATACACATAAAACTTTCCAACTTAAACATTTTTAAGGTTCATTCATGTTACTGCACATGTCAAAATTTCCTTTCCTTTTAAAGATGAACAGTAATGTTATACGTGGGTGCTACATTTTACTTACCCTTTTTTAGCTACTGCGAACAATGCTGTGTGGACACAAGTATTTAAGTATTTCTTCAGTTCTTTTGGGTATATATCCAGAAATGGACTTGGTGGATCACAGAACAATTCCATTTTTAATTTTTGAGGAACTGTCGTATTGTCCTCCACAGCATCTTCACTATTTTACATTCTGAGTGCACAAGGCTGCAATTTCTCCACATCTTGATCAGTATTTGTTCTGCTGCTGTTGTAACTGTTTTCAGCAGTCACTCTAATCGGTATGCATTAATATGTCACTGCAGCTTTGACTGTCCTTCCCTAATTTAGAGATGCTGAGCATCTTTCCCTGAGTGAACTGGTCATTTGTGTATCTCTGAAGAACTTTTGCCCATTTTTAGCTGCCTACTGTCTTAGTTACTTTTCTCATTGCTGACACAAAATATTCAACACCCAAAGTTAAGGGAGGAAAGGTTTATTTAGCTCGTAGTTTGTAGATGTTTTGGTCCATAATCAGCTGGCTCCCAGGCAGGACAGCATAGCAGAGGGGCATGCAGAAGAGAAACAGTTCACAGCGGGCAGAGGTAAAAGCAGAGGGCACCGACAACAGAAAGAATGCCAGCTGCCTTCCGCTCCTTTATGATTTAGCCCAGTTGGCTGAGGGCAGGTCCCAGACTAAGTAGTGGACTAATTCAATCCCAGCTCCCTTAATCCATGCAGCCTATAGTAACACTGCACCATGAGTCAATCCCAGCATCACACACTCTAGATCCAGCCACCTTTTAAAATCCCCACCTATGACTACCTGAGGCTTTGGGAGACATCAAGACACAAGTCATAACATCAACCCACTTAATTTTGTTAAGAGGTTTCTCTTAGCCTGATTCATTCCTAGTTATTACTCTTCAATATTCATTTTAAATTCCCCTTCATTAATGAATCCTGAGTAAATTGCTAAGAACTACATGGAAGTTCATATTGCAAAGATTGTCTTTATTGGTATTATTCAACTATGCCCTGTACTGAACTAGAAACTACATAAAGCACTGAATGAAACTGTTTATGACACAACTGACAATATACGGTATAACAATATACGGTATATAATATACATACTTGATATACCAGCAATATAATACAGTGTGCCATAGAGAGAGAACACAGTATATGCATATATGTTACTATTTACTCAGCAAGTTCATAAACTCCTTCATGCCATAGATTATACCACATTCCTTTATTCACCTCAATACTAAGCAGTCAGATATGCAATAGCTCTTAGTAAACCTTTATTCCTCATTCAATAACCAACTTGTTTAATGATCATTCAGTCTTACAATGGAAGTGCACCGTGCAGACTTAAGACCCTCTTTTCTTTCTGTACAATACTGTGCATCCTGTTTAGAGCCTCAGTGTCTTTTTGTACAGTACAGCGTGTTTATACAACACTGCCATTTTTGCTGACTATACTCTTCAGTACAACAGTTCGATGTTCTGCTATACATTACAGTACCGCATGTAAGAGTTACACAAATAAAAGCCCTCATGACACTGGAGTTTCCCTGACCATTGCTTTGCTCCTAATATGTTCCTTATGTACATACGATACACAATTCCTCATTCAGTGACCAATTCATTCAACAATCTAGTCACAGGACCAGAACCTGGTCATTAATGAGGAACGTCTGCATTCATTCATATGTCAATAACTAAAATTCCTACTGATTAAATAAATCTTTTAAGAGAAAAAATAACCTCTGGCTTTGATTTTTTTATCTGAACTGAAGTTACACATCACTTAAAATCGGTATAATAATTTTAAAATGGAAGAAAGTAAAAATTTGAAGAAACTGTGTAGTTCATTTACAAAGTTTCTTAATCTAACACAATGTTAGCAAAACCTCAAAACACAAATTCTCACTAATCATGAGCCAACAATCCAAACTGACCCTATTAAAATGGAACATTGTTTAAAATATGTGTTTGTGCCTGTAGACAGACAAGCCTGTGGCTGTACCTACTGGAGCTGGACCACTGACCTACTTCCACAGTACAGAGCTAGCTGAGGGCCAGGAAAACAGACCCGAGAAACAGTTTAGGGTTTAGGGTACCGTTGTTAACGAAATCAGCAACCAGGAAAGCTCCCTCTTCCGCACATGAATAGCAAAAGGTACAAGCAATATAGGAGAGAAACACACACATGTAAAAAGAAGTTAAACCACGGCAAAGAGTACTAATGGTGACAATGCTACAGCAGACCAAAAGAAACATACTATCCATCTATAGACCTCTGGGAAACAGGAAAAACAAGGACTACAGAAAGATACACTTCTCCTATCAATTCTACTTCAAGAGGGAAAATTTTGAACTCATAATGAAATTAATAGTAAAAAGCTACTTCTGAAAATATCAGGAGCTATATAAAGCAACAAGGATTTGAGTCATTTAGCAAACACTGACTGAGTTCCTCTACATACAAGGCACTCAGTCACTATACAATACAAACCAAAATATTCACATACTGAAAATTGAGGGTAATCTGTATAAAAGTAAAAGGGTATCCAAATTCAAGAATGGCTCATCAGCTCGTGCTTTTTCTTTCTGCTTCCTTTCTAAGCAAATCATATAATCTCTTATTTCTTCATCTCAGAAATGCAATCAATGGTCTTTTCAGTTCCCATTCTGGGAACAAGTTAACTATGTAACGCTGAGCCACAGAACAACTTCACGTCCAGATTTCCAGTGTTACCCTACCCACAGTGACTGCTGAGAGTGCCACAGGAGACAGCAGTAGGCAGCCTACAGGCAGACACGGAACCCAATGTCCTGCAAATATGTATTAATAAAAAAACTAAAATTAAAAAATCAAATATTTAAAAAGAAAATAGTTATTCTATAACTTTAATAATCCAAGATTCTCTTTAAAGAGGACAAAACAGGCCTTAAGAGGAAAAAAAAATTATAAGAAATAAAATACATCACTTTTATAATTTTTCCCAAGCAAATATTGGAGGAAAAAAAAGTCATCAAACCAAGATAGGGTACTTAAAATAAGGTTTTCTCATAAATGATTATACAACTTCGGCTATTTAAGAAACTGAATATTTACCCATTTCTAGCTGCCAAATGAAGGGGTGTACAGCCTGAAATATCTTGATAGTTAGGATTCGCTCCTTTCTTTAGCAGCAGAACCAAGCATTCCACTGATCCACAACTAAAACAATATTAAAAGACAGATCAGATACATTGAAGAGCAACACCTGGAACAGCTTAAAAACAACACACTGTTAAACTCATTATTTTTAACATGCTGATTTATCTGCAATTTTACTTAACTTCTGTCACAAAGACTAAATACCCTCTATTTTCAAGATGCACGATCTATTAAAAGTGGTAAGATATTTGAAAAGTTCAAATAAAGCAAAAAAGGGATTCATTTATGAAAGAAATAATATATTCTCAACTTTTTGGCACATTAATCATGAACAATTAATTTCAATACACCTACCCAAATCCAAAAAAAGACAAAAATATCAGTGAGTTAACTGACCAAAACCACAGTAGAAAATGAAACAGTGAATAAAAATCACACACCCATCGAGGAAGATAAAGAACATAAAGAAACTGGCACTACATGCAGTTAGTGTACATCCCATTTATCCCTTATATTGGTGGGATAGAGGAAGGTTTGGTGCATGCACCCTAGTTACATCTAGGAAAAACAATCGCCAAGCCTAATACAGCGTAAGCTAGGATACCAAGAATATGGGGCATGAGCTCAACCCCAGAGTTAACAATCATCTAGACAGAAATTACATAACATGCTATGCGCTAACCAGCATAAAGACATACTTGGCTGAGCCATGCCTGTAATTGTAGCATTCTGGGAGGCTGAGGGAGGAGGAATGTAAATTGGAGTCTAGCCAAGGCAACTCAGTGACGTAACAAGACCCTGTCTCAAAATTTTTAAAAAAAAAGGGTTCAATCCCCAGAATCTCAAAAAAAGGAACAAAGAGAAAAGAAACACATGGCTGCTTGTTCGCCCATCTCCAAGTAAGTACTGTGAGACAACACTGACTCAAGGCTTACAGTGCTTACTCTAAACACCAAAGTATCTTTAATCTTACTTTGCTGCAATGTGAAGCAAGCTTCTTTTCACGCGTCCAAATGCATAATTGACATCGAATTTTGAATTTGAAAGTAGTTCAGAAACAGACCTGTGCCCCCCAAAAAGATTTAAATAAGAGTCAATATGTAAAAAAAAATTTTTAAATCATAAATCAAGTTAACAGCTCCCTTATCAATCACAGAGCAAGGCATATTCTCTAAGTGCAACATGGTAGCAAGGTAATATCCAAAAACCAAAGGCCTTGACCAACAAACTGGTGCTAAAGGTTTCAACTCAGGCAGAGACAGTGCTACCTTATCTTTTCCAAGGTCACCTAACAGAGCAGGTCAGTCTCCATTCTCACTGGCTTCTTGAGAAACAAAGGAAGTTGACCTAGCTGCTTCTGCTGTCAAAATTTGAGCCTAGCTATATTAATTTTAGCCACATAAAAAAGCCAGACATTTTTAAGGAGATTCAAAGCAAAAAATAATTTCTATTTTAATTTGTTTCAAACTATTTTCCCTTTACCTTCTTATTATACCGAACTACCCAGTGATAATAGTTACCAGGGTAAAGACCTCTTAATAAAGACACTTAAATGTATTTCATAAATGCCTGTACAAAGAGGTATCCATGTTGCCCTACATGGTGGCACATGCCTATAATCCTAGCACTCTGGGAGGCTGAGGCAGGAGGATTGTGACTTCAAGCCCAACCCGGGCAACTTAACAACTAAGCAAGATTCTGTCTCAAAATAAAAGATAAAAAAGGCTTGGCTATAACTCAGTGTGAAAGCCCTGGGTTCAAATCCTGCTACAAAAAAAAAAAAAAGTCAAGCCTGTATAAATTTAAAAACAATCTAAGGAAAAGCACATGTAAGTGAACTAAATCACCCTTTAGCTCCACCCTTTTCCTCAGGGATCAGCAGTGACCTCTAAAAGAAACCACCAGTGCTTTTTATGTTATGAGCGACCAAACACTTGATTTTAATATATGATTATTCACTTACAAAATGTCTTAAAAAGAAAATGTCTTACAACAAAAATTTTACATCTTAGTGATGGATCTTGTCCTTTATTTCACAACCACCAAAAAATTCTGAATAGAAAAATTAAATAACTTGTTCCAGGACATCATCTATGGCCAAACCACTATGGAACCATGTGTGTGTGTGTGTGTGTGTGTGTGTGTGTGTCACACTTAGAATACTTTTCAAAATGCATAAATATTAAAAACACACTCACCTGTGTTGATCAGCCATAACCATTGGCATTAATGTATAAACAGCAGTTTCATTATCTGAGTTTAAAAAAAAACAGAAGAATTCATTTATTTCCACTTTTTCCAACAGGTGATATATAAGATTAGTTTTCTCAACTCTACATAAAACATGAGTTTAAAACAAGAGGGAAAAGGTAAGAACAATGCAGAATACCAAAGGCAGGGCAAGCTTCTGTTTATTCCTTTTACTCCATCACAAGTTTTCCTTTCTGAATACAAATAAAATTGAAGATTTAGTGTTTTCTACAGTTTTAGCAATGATACTTCTTGATTTCCAAAAAGAAAATTTTAGACATTATGTTTTATCACATGTTTACATGTAGTTTGGGGTATTTGAAGTATATGGATATTAAACATAAATATGCTAAAGTAATTTTAAAGCCTTGAAAATATATAGTATTTGTTTCTTGCCAATACAAGAAATTATTTTAACAGTTTTTATAAAACATTAAGAACCAATTTCACTCACTACACTATTAGAAGACTTGCATTCAAATTTTAATAGAAAAAATCACAAATACATGATCCAAAAGGTTAAAAATCAATGTGATGCTATGTTACACACATTTCACTTAGTGTCAACTTATTTTTAAATACCACTAACAGTCATTTGTCAAGTCATTTCTGAAGTTTGTTTTTTAATAAGTTCTTACAAAGAAGTTACCTTGACACTCATAATAAACACCTTTAAACACTTGCTAAGATTAACAGGTTGAAGTCTGAGATGAAACAAGATATTTCCTAGTACCAAAACAGTTTCTAAAAAATTGATAATTACAATGGAAAAATACTAAAATTACAGTAAAGAACCCAGGAGATACCACTTTAGTCAACTGATAAGGAACAATATCTCTAGAAATAATACACAGTAATATCATGTAACTTCTGATCAATGAACCATTAAAAAGGGCACACCACTTCTGTAGTGTTCTTGCCAAAAATCTCTTAACTTCAACCAAAAAATGAGAACACATCTTAAAAATCCACTCTAAACAAAATTCCATAAAATACATAATCGGTCCTCTTAAAAGTCTCAAGGTTATTAGACAAAAGGAAATACCAAAGAATAATCAGTTTGGAGGCACTAAAAAAACATAACAACTAAATGCAACACAACAGCCTCAATTGGGTCCTAAAGCAGAAAAAGGGCACGTGGGAAACTCATGAAATTGTAATAAAATCTGAGGTATGGTAATTGATGTATTCTACGACTATTTCTTAGTTTTGATAACTGTACTATGGTACAAGATGCTCAATGAAATCTCTGCACTATTTCTTATTTTTCTAAGTTTAAAATTAATGCAAAAATTTTAAGATACTGGTCCAGATTATAAGTATTTTTTTGTACTTTTTTTTTTCTTTTTTGGTACCGGGGATCAAACTCACAACCTCACACTTGCCAGGCAGGTGCTTATACCACTGAGCTAAATCCCAGGCCCCAGTATCAAGGAGATCAATCTACTAAATATAATGTGTTGACCTCAAATGCCAGTTCAAACAAACCGACTTTAGAGGATACTTTTTGAAACAATTTTTAAGAATGGGGGGCCTGAGATTTAGCTCAGCAGCATAAGCACCTGCTTTGCAAGCGCAAGGTCATGAGTTTAATCTCCCGTACCAAAAAAAAAAAAAAAAAAGAGGAAAACTAAGCATGGCCTGGGTGGCTAAGCACAATAAAAAACTGTTCAGTTTACTGATGCTAATAATTATACTATGATTATGTCTGAAAAAAACATTCATGTATTTAAAAATATAAACTGAGTTATGTATAGGAAAAATGGGAAATGGTTACGAGTATTCACATTTTCACTATTTTACTTGTGCTTTACATGCAAGTGAAAGTAATTTAATCATCATACTAATATGCAGATGCAACAATCTTTTCACAATAAAATAAATGCTATTATTTACTAAAATGTTTTAAAAACAATTATCTTAAAGATCTTATTTCTGAAGTGCTAATGACAGAAAGGTACTGTTTTAAACTCTCTATATATTCTGTTTTGATTCTCATAATTACTTATGAAGTTTCTGCCATTATCCTCATTTTACTGATGAAACACTGATATGCTGTGTAATGGTGGCTTTAGGTGGCTGACATAACACATCTTACACCCAGTGTAACTCACTGCAAACAAAACCAGAAGGTCATTACCCGAGCTATTCCTAATGTACACAATACACTCTAATTTGTTTTATCCTCTCATTTCTTTTTTTAAAATGTTAACTGCAACCCGGTAAAGTGTTCTCAGTAACCACCAATGAGTCACCATGTGAGGCTGAAAGCACCATACCAAGCCTCTACTGGTATCACAACATTCCTTCTCTCACATAATACACTTGCCAATTTAAAACTATTTAGACTCCCACCCCTGTGACAGCACACGCCTAAACTCTTCAGCACTCTGGGAAGCTGAGACAAAAGGATTACGAAGTCCAGCCTAGATGAAGCAGTTTAGTGACTCAGCTGGTCCCTGACTCAACATAAAAAATTAAAAGCTGGGGATTAAAAACTGAATCTCCAATCCACAATAATTTCAATTAAATCTCTCTGTAACAAGCAAAATCATAAGGCAATACACTTATTTGTGAATTTACACTTATAAAGCAAGATAGTAGATAATTTTTAGCGAGTATAAGGTTCACATTGGCTTCATTTAAAAAAACTTTTACAGCCAGGTCTGGTGGCACACACCTGTAATCCCAGCACTGAAGAGGCTGAGGCAAGAGGATCTGCGAGCTTGAGAAGGCACTCCGTAAAATTTAGATGTTGACCTTCTTTTTAAAATGACATCTAACCTTACAGAAATACAGATCATATGTACTCAAAGTAAGGATAAAGAAATAAAACAGAACCACATCTATAGTTCTAAAAGAAAACTAAGAAAAACTGTACTAAGAAAGGATAGGATAAAATCCGTTGTCAAATACTTCCTTCTCATGAAGATATCCTGAAAAGTAGATTTATAATTAAAATTTTCAGAGTGATAAGTTTAATCTCCTGCTTCATCAGATATGGCCATTTTTATTAATAGTTTTGAAATTTTACTACTAAAAGGAAAACCTGGAAGAGCTCCGATTCATTGTAATTTCTCCTCAAACATTAAATGGGAGCAGTTTTTTAAAAGCTGGTGATTACTGTGTATGCTAACATGCAGACAAATTCTATTTTAAAAGAAAAACCATATTCGCTGTAAATGTAGTAAACTCTTTTCTCCATATATGTGTACAATACACATAAACCTTTTAAACTCCACTGTGCATCCATGTTGCTCATCTAATTTCTCTGCCTGTCACCTTTTTCTGTCTCACAAGATTATTCCTCTGTCAGCCCTGCCTAGGACCACCCAACAGGCTTTACTGCATCACAATGGAAACTTGAAAGGTTTTACTCTAAGGAAACATAAACATATTCCCCAGGGTCCATGTCAGTAAATCAGAATCTTCAGATTCATGCAGTGCAACAAATAACTTGAGAATAAAGGGAGATTAAAACTTGCGTAATTTTTTTCTAATTGTAATTTGATAATAGAGGGCTGAATTATAACAAACAAAAATACCTGATTATTTCTTAAATTTAGAGCTTAGAATTTCTATTGTCTCAAAATATGAAGCATAACAATGTGGATTTTTAACATGTACTGTATATGATTTGCTTGAAAGAACCAAATTCAAAGACTTCGAAAAGGAAGCCAAGCGTGCTGGCCCAAGCCAGAGGAAGGAAGATCACATGAGGTCAAGGCAGCCTGGGCTACACAGTGAATTCAAGGCCAGCCGGACTACAGAGCAAAACTCTGTACCCAAACACACACACACACACACACACACACACACACACAAGAATTTTAAAAGATTCATCAGAACTTAGTGACAAATTCAAAATAAACAAATTCATTACAATCACAGGAAAAATGTACACAAGATACCATGTGAGTCTATCAATTCGAGAAAAGTTTTATTTTTAATTGTAATAATTTAGTTTCCAAACTGGTGGAACACCCCAAGAAGTTGAGAAACTGACACCTAGAGCCTTAAAATGTTGATATAATTATACACTATTATTCGAATTAACCCTGAAGAAACAAAGAGACAGTCTTAATAACAAAGCTGCTCTTCAAAAAATCAGTTTTAAAAAGCTGAAATTAGATTCAACATTTGTTACATGCATCCTATGAAATGTTGCAAAGTCATCAAGCACATTTAACGATATGAAAACATTCGAGTTTCCTAAGTCCAAAATAAAAAAAACTCTGATCCTATTTTTATAAAGCCAGAAAGACATAATAGAAAGAAGAAAGTGCTAAAGTTGCTTATTTTGTGAAAGTGACAGGTTTGTTATTCTACTTTGATTGTCCAACTTTTCCAGAATGAAAATATTTCTTTTAAAAGCAGAAAATATTATCAAAGCCTTGTAAATTACACTTATGTAAACTATATTAGAAAAGCTAGCCAGTACAAATTGCTCTGTCAATGAAACACACTGCTTCAAGACTGATATCAGTAATTTCACTTCGAAAAATGATAGCAAAAGGAGCAGATTCAAAGGAGTTAGAAAAAGATAAGACTATAAATCGTTACTAAAATTAGGATTATAACAAATCAATTACTTCACACTTGAAAAGTTTCAAATGCAAAATTATTTTTTAGAAAGTTGGCACATTACTTATTTGAATCCTAAGGAAAAATTTTTCAAGAAAGGTATTCCCCAATTTCCCACTCACATTTCTTCCACGACTCCCTCCAGAGGCCTCCTTCTGTAACCTGTGTAATGTCACCAACACTGATTCAAAGAAAGTTTTGAAAAAAGAAACAGCACAGCATGCTCAAAATGTAGAAAAACATCACCAGCCAAAACCTTCCTAACTCTTGTTTCACGTGGACGCTGAAAGTCAAAAGCCACAACACTGCCGGCTCCCACTGCCGCTAAAATGCCTGAAGTTCTGGGCTGCAAACTCTCATCTCCTCTGCTACAGGAGTTTTACCTTCTGAAGGAACCCTGACCCATGGAAGACCGCACTGCTGGGACCGTGCCTTACTATACACCTCTCTGCAGATGCACCCCAGTTCCCACCTAGCCCAGTTCGTGTACCTCTGACGAACAAATTAAAACATGCATTCCTATTAAAGAAATGTGTGTGCACACAGAGTGCTTGATGTGGATAACCCTGCTGTCAAAATACAGCGGTACCCTATACGAAAAGCAATTACTGAAGTCCAAGCCTGCATTCCGCAGGTTAAATACCATCTTTGAAGAATGTATCCCAGCGACTTTAAGTCAGCCCTCGAGTGAAGCTTTCTGAATCCCGGTCTCCGCCGTCTGGCTGGGACTTCTGCGATGGTGCAAGAAGACCTCAGTCCCGCTGCGCCCAAGCGCGGGTCCAGAACCCACCCAGCGCCCCCCGCAGGCGCCCACCTGCCAGATTCCGAGCGGCCAGCGGGGGACGCCCGGGGCTCCGGCCCGGCCGAAAAGTAAAAGTGGGCGTTAGCTCAGTTTGGGTTAGTTTTGCCTCTGGACCCTGACCCGGCCCGGCCCTGGTGCCGCTCACCCTCGGGCAACTCCACAGTGCGCGCGCGGCGGAGCGAGCGCGTGAGGCGGTTCAGCTGCTCCATCGCTCTCTCCATCCTCGGCGCGCCCCCCGCGATGCCCCGCGCACCGCGGCCTCCGCGCCCAGCGCCCTACATCCCGCCTCAGGCCCGGCACCGGGCGTGGGAGGGGGTTCGTCCCGGTGGGCACCCAAGGCTGCGACAGCTACTGCAGGCCGCGTCCTCTCAGCAGAGCGCTCGGCGGCTGCGGGACACGGCTCCGAGACACGGGCACCCACGGCCGACGCCTCCACTCGCGCCTTTCCTGCCGCGGCTACTGCTTCCCTCCTGGGCTCGCACAGCCTTCTGGGAACTGTAGTTCCAGCCTCGCGGAGCCGCGCGCCGGAGGCGGGGCCAGGCGCTGGGGCGGAGCCATACTGGGTGCGCCGAGGGCCTGCCAGGAAGCCACGCCCACACGGGAACGCCCTCCCTCCCACCCTCCGCGGCTGCGCAGGCGCAGTCCTTCAATTCTGTCTCTCCGCTTCCTGTACGGCGTGAAGCTGGTAGCGCAAATGTTCCTAAATCGATCACTGCCTTCCTAGTATTGATCGATTTGTGTAATACATAAAAGAACTGTTTAAATATCTATAAAGGTCAAATTTCAAAAGTAATAAAAATCAAACAAATACGAAGGCAAAACATGTTTGTTGCTTTACTGTAACTTAACAATGGCTTAAGTATTTGTTTACCTGCTCAGTGACTGACTTCCTGGGGATGACGCCACTCGATTTTGTGTTTTGCTCTGTCTGTATTCATCACAGCATCTGGCGCCAAGCTGAAAGTTTAAGGAGGACATGCAAGACGGCAGCTTCAAAGAAAATTCTGATTTGGTATAATGCAGCCTTGACGTGACAACAAGACCCAGGGGAAAGGGAAAGACTGAACTGCAAAAACTTAGCAACAAAATGTAGAAGAAATGAGTAGAAAAAATCAGTGGGGGGAAATCACAGTTGTCACTTCTGCCCAGAAGTTAAAGACCAGGCCAGGTTAAAACAGAGACCTGAGCAGTTGAAACTTGAAAATAATCCAGTCAGAATGCAAATGTGTTTGGCTGACATTATTGACAATGAACGATAGAAATTCTTTTTTGTTAGATTTACCACCAGTGCTGAAACGATGCGAGAATAAAACAGAAGGAAAGGGCTTGACTTTGTCTACTTTTCCCTCCAAGGGGCAGAGCTGTTCGTGCAGTGGGGATAAGAGAGGGTACAAGAAAGGCTCCCCTGCCCATGTGGATATGAAGGGATGTTCCCTGCCAACGCTGTCCCGAACTGCTTCCAACACACACCTGGAAGCCAGTGGTCTCACAGGATCTGAGCAAAAGTCCATCATCTTCGCCTTCCCCTCCCTTCAGATGAGAACTAAACCAGTCTGGCAACATGGTGGGGGACATAAAGCTTTGGTGAAATACCAAGTGCTGTTAGCTGATCTAAGCCACGCCCCACCTTTGCAACCTGGTTTCAGCCTTGATGGGGGTATCAGTTAACTTTCCAGATGCTGGGGCAAAATAATCTGACACCAGCAACCTAAAGGAGTTTATTTTGGTTTAATTTTTAGAGAATTCAGTTCATGATTGATTGGCTCCAAGGTAGAAACAACAGGCCATGAAGGCCTCATAGAAAAAAGCTGCTCGGGGCTGGAGATCTAGCTCAGCGGCATAAGCACCTGCCTTGTAAGCAGGAGGTCGTGAGTTCGATCCCTGGTACTGATAAAAATGAAAAAGACAAAAAAAAAAAGCTGCTCAACCCACGGGAGCCAGAGAGCAGAGAGAGAAAAAAGGAAAAATAAGAATACACTCTTCCAGTGTGACCAGCCTCCACGTATTAACTGCACATTCAGCTGTGAACTCAGTGGGTTAAGCACTCTACCCCCATGATCTAATTTCCCTTCAAAATCTCACCCCTGAAGGTATGACACTCTGGGAAGACATTTTCTATCCAAACCATAATATTTAGCCTCCATAAATCATTTTTAGAAGTCAGGATTCCAGGCTAGGAACAAAGTGGTAGAGCACTTTCCTAGCATGAGCAAAGCCCTGGACTCAACCTCACCACTATAGAAAAATAAAATACTTCAATACAGAGTGAAGTAAAATGTATCTGTTGTCTCATCCACCCAGGAGGCTGACGCAGGAAAATCACTGCAACTCAGGAATTGAAAACCAGACTGTGCAATTTAGTGAGACCCTATCTTAAATTTTTCAAAAAGTGAACGAAAGGATTCCTGTTGCTATATAATAAAACTTAGCCCTTCGGCCCATGTTATCGTCATATAAACAAACCCTCCTTAACTGTGTTACTTCATATAAATTGTATCCAACATCCTTTCAGAACCGGGCTTCAGCTTTGCCCTCCATAGTGGGCATTGCTTCCCGAGCTGGTCACTGTCCACTGCAGGATAGATTGTTCTGGAAAAAATTACAGGACGCTGCTGAGATTGTCATTTCCAAATTCTGCAGTATGATATTGTCTCTCAGGTAAATTTACTCCAAGAAGAAGCTGCAACTACTACATAGGCTTATCACCTCTAGTCCTGCAGAAATCTCTACAACAATAGAAAACTGTAGCTTCCAAGCAAGTGGGGCTCTACAGTAGGTATTTAAAGTATGGCTAGGGCAACCGTATTTTAAATTTATATTTAAATGTAATTAATTGAATTGCTTAATTTTAATTAAATAACCATATATGCCCAGGGGCTACTACATTTGACAAAGCAGCTTATCACACCAAGAAGGGAACTACGCAAGAGGACACCAAAAAAATCCAAATAGCTCCTCAATCTATTAGCTAAAACGTGAAAGGTTTTTCTCACTTGGATATCAATACAAAGAATATCATGAAAGCATTAAAAAGACACTTTTTCCATTATCATAATTCCATTATTAAAAGCATCATCTTTTCACTTATAAAAATCCAAGTTCAAGATGCTGCTGAGTAATCATGCACCATGGAAACCAATGAATGATTGATATGATTTTTCATCATTTATTGAGGACCAATTTGACCCAATGTAGCAGGCAGGCATCAGACTTTTAGATCAAACTGTCTGGCTTATTAAACAAATCTTATGAACAGTTTAATAAGTAAATATATATATATATCTTTTTTTTTTTTGTCTTTCTAAAGTCCAGATTCTGTGACTATTTCTGGCCCAGAAACTGGTTTAGTGGCAGTACCAAAGCTTAAATTTTTCCATTTAAAAGAAGCAACCAGAAATCAATTAACAAAGGCAGAAAGAAAGCAAAAAGCAAAGATAAACAATTGTAAAGCCAAAACACAAAAGACAATGCTATAAATCTAATTATAGCCATATCATAATACACTGAATAAACGCAAACATCCTGGGGCCGGGGATTTGGCTCCGAGATGTAAGCACTTGCCTGACGAGTGTGAGGTTGTGAGTTCGATCCCTGGTACAAACACACACATACACACACACACACACACACACACACACACACACGTCTTAAATTGGATGTATAAAAGAAAAATAAAACTGGAAGCTACAGCAGGATTACCCAAGGTCAACTGTCTATAAACATACAACCAAAATTTAAGTCATCTTGACTTCCCCCAAATCCAACTATTACCACAACACAGAACGTTAGCTTTATGTTCTTGGCAGCATAATTAAATGAAATTCAACCAAACAATTATACACAAATCTGTTTAAATAGCCACTTCCCATTTTTAAAAATTAAGCATACCACTGAATCACAAAAAGATGAAAGTACTTCCTCCTGTAATGTACTATAAAGTGTGCCTTCAATTGCGTAGAGGGTGAGTGTTTCACTAACCGACAAAGCCTGCATTGCATTGGATTGCAACCTGTACTTTTCATATGATAAAATTTCGCTTCAGTTTTGTGGCTTCTTTTGCAACTTGTTTCCAATTTCATTGCACCACGTGTGGTCTGATAATGTACGTAGAATAATTTCAGCTCCAATTCATTGACTTAAGCATGTTCTATGGGCTACTGTGCAGTATGCTTTGGAAAATGTCCCATGCACAGCTGAAAAGCAAGAGTATTCTGATGTTGTGGAATAGGACACTCGGTAGGCGTTTACTAAGGCATTTGTCGAAAGCTGTGGCTCAGTTCTGCTATTTTGCTGCTGTTTTTTGTCTAGTTGACCTAGTTGACCTCTGTTCTCTCTCTCTCTCTCTGTTCCTCTCCCTCTCCTTTTTTTCCACATATGAAAGAAAACAGGTATTTGTCTTTTTAAATCTGGCTTATTACATCTAATATGATGCTCTCCAGTACCATCCAGTTTCCTGCAAATGATTTCATTCCTTAAGGTTATATAACATACATAGTATGCATATATACACATTTTTATATATTATGTATGTGTATATATTATTTTATTTGTATATTATTGTGTATATATTATTTTATTTATAATGTGTGCTAATTTCAGTTATTTCAGGAATAGACTATGGAGTGATGTAACTGGATCCGACAGTAGCTCTATTTTGAGATATTTGAAGAACCTACATGCTGGTTTCCATCACGGCACTAGTAATTTACATTTGCATTCCAACAAACTGTTTAAAAGTAATTACCCACTTCTTCAACATTTATTGTTTTGGATTCTTGATATGGCCATTCTGACTGGGGTGAGATGGAATCTCGATGTGATTTTCATTTACTTTTGATGACTAAAGACGTTGAATTTTTTTCCACATTCTTTATGTCATGGCTTGTGTCTAGCTGCAGCCTGCAAAGCCTCATGCACTCGTAGGTGGTTTTGGGAGGTGGCTAGATCTAGGGAGCGGGACTCTGGGATTAAAGTGGTGTGGCACTGGATTATCCCACTGATTGATTTATAGTTTTGAGAGCAGATCAAGGAAAGGTCCACACTAGTTATAGATGTCATCACCCAAAGACTCGTGGCCTGGATAGGACAAAGGAAAAAGGAGACTTGCTGTGCGGCTGCGGCTACTGTTTGCCGCTGTTCATCGGCCCCCTGCCTGCCTGCCAGGGGCTGGTTCTCCTCTGCAGTGTCCCTGTGCCGTGCCACTCCGCCTTGAAGCCACCAACAGTATCCCAAAACCTCTACGAACAGTGAGCTGAAATCAGCCTTTCCTCCTGTAACTCAGGCTGTCAGGTATTTCATTGCAGCAAAAAGAAAAGTAACCAAGACACTCGATGACCATTTCTGCTTTGTGTTTTGAGAATACTGTGTTCATTTCATTTGCCCATTCATAGATCAGCTATTTTTTGTGAAGCTTTTTTCTTGTCGATGTTGTTACATATTTTGCATTCTCGATATTTTTTATTGACCGGCTGAAAGAGTAGAAAGT